AGGATATAAAGCTCTCAGCTACTGTTCCAGTGTCATGACTGTGTTTCCCACTATGACAATCATGGACTAACCCTCTAAAACTGCAAGAAAGCCCCCAATCAATTGGTTTCTTTTAAAAAAGTTGCCTTGGTCATGGTGTCTCTTCACAGCAACAGAATAGTGACTAAGACACTAGTACAATGCAGAATTTGTATTAATAAAAAGAGAGATGAAGGTACAGCATAAACTGGAAGACTCAACATTGTCTAGATTATGAAAGCCTCTTAAAAATCAATCAGTACATTGGAAAGCATCTGTGAAGATGCTTGACAGGGCACGACCACCCTTCTTCACAGCATTCTGGATGGTACCGTGCACATCCAGAGATCAGCAGGATTTGAAGATGCCAAAGACACTCTCCAGAAGTTAGAGAGCTGAGAATTGGTATTACAGACTAATTTCAACAAAAGTAATCCACCAGGACACAGGCCCTCCTCCTAAAGGAACACCATTTAGACACACATCTTGCTGTGAGCAAGGGTGAATGAATTCCTTTTTTAAAAAATTTATTTTAGTTTATTATGTATACAGTGTTCTGTCTGTCTGTATGCTTGCTGTCCAGAAGAGGTCATCAGATCTCATTACAGATGGCTGTGAGCCACCATGTGGTTTCTGGGAATTGAACTCAGGACCTCTGGAAGAACAGTCAGTGCTCTTAACCTCTGAGCCATCTCTCCAGCCACGGGTGAATGAATTCTTGAGAGAGGCAGGTCATGCTGCCTATGCTCACAAAACCCCACTCAGTGCAGGAATCAGATGTGGCAAATACCCACTCGGGTCACTTTCTGTGTAAGTATATATGTAACCTATAGTATGCAACTGTAGATTTTACTGTGTGTTTTAGCTTATAACTGAATCCATGTCATAAGCAGTCATCATAGAGACTTAGAACACTATATTTTCATTTAGTTTACTGAATCTACTGAATACAAAGCACTGTAGAAGCACTAGGAACTTATAGAAAATACAGGCAAATAACCAAAACCACTTCAGGGACACCTAACCTAACCTAAGAGAGTGAGTGAGTACAGCGGGAGAAAAGGTTTCAGTTGAAGAGGTGAAAAGCAGTCAGCGAGACCACTGAACTGGAGGAACTAGAAGGGTTTCCAGGTAATTAACCTGCACAGATAAAGGAAATAAATACATGAAAGGAGAATGATATCTAGGAAACAAGGAAAGGTAGTGTGTTTTAAAGAAAGTAAGAAAGGCAAGTCTTTAAATGAGTCACTTCATTCCTAGAAAGAGTTGATCCTAAGCAGATGTATTAAGAGATAAGAACAAACTGCTGGGCATAGTGGTGTACACTTTTAATCTCAACACTCAGGAACCAGAAGCAGGTGAGTCTCTGTGAGTTCGAGGCCAGACTGGTCAACAGAGCAAGTTCTAGGACAGCTAGGACTTTTTATACAGAGAAACTCTGTCTCGGATTAAAAAAAAAAAAAAAAGGCAAAACAAAACCTAGACTACTAGCATATTTCAAATGTATCCTCAACCCTAATAACAGTGTAGTTCAAACTATGTTTAATATTTTAGTTCAGCAATATTGTCATATTAGCTATGATCTATTCACTGTTTCCAAAATTAACAAATATAGATGAAAAAGTCATTTCCCCTTACATATTAAACAGAGGGTACCATTATAAAGAGACTAAAATTATAGATTACCTTCATCAATATACCATGGATTTTTGGATTTGGATTGTTGTTGTGAGTCAACAGATGACCCATTTAAGGTATAAAATAATTCAGATCTGCTTCTACTTCCAGGGTCTGAGGTAGATCCTATGGAACAAGAAAAGTTCCTTTTTAAAAAAGCCAATATGTTACAAAAAGAAATGTTATAAATAAATTAACATGCGTATGGTATAACAACTGCTCACACAACTAATATACATATACATAGTATTGTATTGTCTTTGGCTTTAAAAGTTTGGTAATTAGTCAACACAGAAGAGAGTAGGAGTTATAAAATTAATATAAAAGTAAGCCATTTATAATAAAGCTCTAAGAAACCGTTCTGGTGGTCAGTGGTGACACGAGCCTTTAATCCCAGCACTTAGTAGAAGCAGGCACATCTGAGTTTGAGGCCATCCTGGTCTATTGAGCAGTACCAGGACACTACAGACTAAAGAAATCTGGACAAAAAAAAAATCATTCCATATAGTCTATTTTTCAATGTCACCTCTACTTTGATGAAATGACTGGCTCACAAATTTAACCTCTATCATTCATACCATATAACAGTGGTTTTCCACCTCCCTAATTCTGCCACCCTTTAATACAATACCTCATACTGTGGCAAACCCCAACCAGAAAATTATTTTCGTTGTTACTTTATAACTGCAATTTTGCCACTGTTATGAATTGTTTTCCAATGGTCTTAAACAACCCCAAAAAAAGGGTCATTCAAACCCCACAGGGGTCACGATCCACAGGATGAAACTCCATTGCAGTCAACAAAAGAACATCCAGCAGTGTTATAGAGCCTAGACATACACAAAGTTCTTTCACCAAGGTTTGTGAAGTGCATTCTATGATGGTCACATGATGTGGGATTCCCCTCCTCATGCTGTGAATACCATTGGTTAATAAAGAAATTGGCTTGGCCTGATAGAGTAGAACAGAGCTAGGTGGGGAAAACTGAATGCTGGGAGAAAGAAGGGCAGAGTCAGAGAGAAGCCATATAACCCCACAGAAGATGCCGGAACTTTACCCGGTAAGCCACAGCCTCGTGGCAATACACAGATTAATGGAGATGGGTTAATTTAAGATGAGTTACCCAGAAATATGCTTAAGCTATTGGCCAAACAGTATTGCAAATAATATGGTTTCTGTGTGATTATTTTGGGGCTGAGCAGCTGGGAACAAACAAGAGGTCTCATAAAAAAGTCACACACACACACACACACAAAAAAAGCAAACTGCCGAATGATGCACTTCTCAGAACTCATTCCATTAATATGTGGCTCATGATTATAATTTCCCTTCGTAAACTTCAAATGATAATACAAGATGATGTACAAATTAAGTTAAAAAACATTCAGGTTTTGGGTGGGTATATGGCTCAGGAGTAGAGTCCTATATTAGTTTGTGTAAGATGCCAGATTTGATGCAAGCACCAAAAAAATAAAATAAAATAAAAAAGTAATCTCAGTGTCTGGAACAATACCTGAGTAAAAAAGTACTTACCTAGCTTATAAGGTTCTGTTGACTTTGATCCCCAACATTACAAAAGAAATATTTTTTTTTAGATTTACAATATAAACATCTTAGAATTTTATTAACACAATTTCTTGTTCTTTGTAGTTTAGGAGGATGGACCTCTGAGGCTCTGTGCCCTCGTTAGGGATGTGGTGGAATATTCGGCCTGTGCCTGTCAATGGCCTGACAATACAGCCCACGACCCATACGACCAGTGGTACTTTCCTCCTTTCAGGAGAAGGCCATGATCAGCTCAAGCACCAAGACTAGGAAGCCTGATGACAAGAAGGCATATGACTTCGAGTCTAGCATCTCTCATGCACGGCTTGAGCTGGAGATGAACTCAGATCTCAAGGCACAGTTTGGAAACTCAGTATCACCCACCACAGCCAAGGAAACTGAAGCTGGTGATGGTCAGAAAGCAATCCTTATTTTAGCACCAGTTTCTCAGCAGAAATCTTTCCAGAAAATCTAAGTCCGGCTGGATCATGAATTAGAGAAAAAGTTTAGTGGCAGGCATGCAGTCTTCACTGCTTAAAGAAGATTCTGCCCAAGCCAACTCAGAAAAGCTGTACAAAAAAATAAGCAAAAGCACAAAAAAGCTGCACCCTGGCAGCTGTACATGACGCCATCCTTGGGGACTTGTTCTTCCCAAGTGAAACTGTGGATACTCCATGAATGCATGACAGTCAGCTCCTAAAGGTTCATTTAGACAAAGCTCAGCAAACAAGCAGAACACAGGTCGAAACTTTTTCTGGTGTGTATTAGAAGCTCCCTCTCTCCCTCTCTCTCTCTCCCCCTCTAGGGTTTTTTGCTGGAACTTGCTCTGTCAACCAGGCTGGCCTCAATCACAGAGATCCACCTGCCTTTGCCTCCTGAGAGCTGGGATTGAAGGCGTGTAACACCTCTCTCTTATCCAAATAAAAATCTCCCTCCACAACTCATAGGCTGGCCATTTCGGTGGTCTCTTTATTACATCCTCACTTAAAATCATGTACATAAAATTTTAGTTTACATAAAGTGTAGGAACAAATTATATGTATATATAATTTGTGTATATAAATACATATATGTGTATATATACACATATATATGTATATATATACACATGATAACATATAGCTTATTTAACATCTTAGAGAATCATATTATCATGTAAACTACCAAGAATGGCCTCCATACCTGTAACCTTTGGTTTATTATGACTAGATGAA